CTTTTGAAAAAAAATGTAATAATAAAATAAAAAGTGTTTGTCTATTAATTTTTTGCATTTTATAGGTAAAGTTGATCCAGGGAATATCCGATTGCCTCTCGGGGGATCAGGAAGGAATTTTTTCCCCTGCAGGAGCAAATTGGATCGTGCTTTGCTGGGTTTTTTTTGCCTTCCTCTGGATCAACTGTGGGTGTAGGATTATAACTTTTTTTTTAATGGTTGAACTGGATGGAATTTTTTCAACCAGACTAACTATGTAACTATGAAGCTTGCAGAGCATTGCAACTGTGATCAGGCTCCTGCACACTCTATACCCAGGCTCAAGTCAATTTACGAAGCGCTTTACATATATATTGTACATTCACATCAGTCCCTAACCCTCAAGGGGTGTACAATCTAAGGTCCCTAGCTCACATTCATACATACTAGGGCCAATTTAGACAGGAGCCAATTAACCTACCAGCATGTCTTTGGAGTGTGGGAGGAAATCCATGCGGACACAGAGAGAACATGCAAACTCCAGGCAGGAGGTGCCGTGGTTGGGATTCGAACCAACGACCCTAGTACTGCCGAAGTGCTAACCAGTTAGCCACTGTGCTGCCCCATCAATGGGTTCAGGTCAGTGCAAGCCGATAAAACATTTCACAGAGATGGGGGATATCCAGGTATGGTGTTCTACAGCAAAGGAGAAATGAAAGTATAATATGCTGGAAGTGCTAACCATTTAGGCACTGTGCTGCCCGCATAGAATAACATTGAGTTGCTTCTACAGCCAAAACACTAAAATCCTGTGAAAGCAGCGTGCATGGTCCCTTATTGGCCCCTGTCTTTTCTGAATGAAAACAGTGAGTGATTGGTACTATTACACTCCTTGGGGCATCTAAAGGTGTCCCAGGTCTTTTACAATTCTATAGGGTATACTACAGCAACAAAACAACGTTTGGCTTGAAGAAAAGGTGGCAACCCTACTACCCAGTGGCTATGCTTTAAGGTTTATTGAAACCCTAAAGCATCCCAAAACAGTTCCGGCGATTTCGGTGCAGTGAAGGGACGGACACCACGCAGACCGACCCAAAGAGTCAGATGTGTAGGATGACCTCACTGCAGCTCCAGCCACGCCCACTGACGCATTTCGCCCTGCTGATCAGGGCCTTGGTCACAGAGGCAACATGGAAGCAAGCTTGCTCCCAAGCCACTGCTCTGCGTGTCCATTCACGGTGCCACAGCGACTGCCAATGCTGGATCGACATGGGGCTCAGGTAAGTATTAGGGGAGGATGAAGCTGCTGCATGCAGAAGGGTTTCTGCCTTCATGCATAGAATGCATGAAGGTAAAAAACCTTCAGCCTTTTCAACCAATTTAGAGCAGAACTCTGGGCAAAAACTTTTGTTGCTGATTTCCTACCTTCACTCAATATGTCATCCATCTTCTGGTTCACTCAGTAGTTGCTCTGAAATAGCCTATTCATTTTCAAATGAAACCTTTTAATTCTCTTTGGTTTCCGGTTTGTAAGACTGGTGGTTGCTATGCCTCCTTTCCCTCAGCCACTGGTCTTGGCACATCCCTTCTGTAGTTCTTTCTCCAGCATGCAGTGATGTAATTCAGCCCCACTTGGAGTGGTAGGTGTACAGTACCGAGACACATTCAACATATACAGGCCTGGTGTTCCAGCCACATTCACTACAATTGTAGTTGATGGGAACTGCAGTTTCCTTTTACTGCAGTGAGAGAGGAGAGGATTCGATGTAATCCCAGCCTTTACACCTCCTCTTTGGCAGAGCAGATGCTGTTATGTTTTGAATTACAAAGATGAGGTTATTCAGTTAGACTTCTCTCCTAAATGGTAAGTATTTTCAAAATTGTATTAACTGATTAGTATTTTGTGTAGGGTGGTGCACTAATGGGTGATTTTTTTTTGCCCATCCCGGAGTACTATTTTAAGACTCGCCAAGAAAATTATATGGAAAGGCCGTTTCCATTTGCTATGGGTTATGGCTCTTTACTGATTTTTACATATTTTGCCAGAAAATCCCTAGCAGGCTGTCACCTACACTTCCTTTATGTTTTGTAGTTTATAGACTTTGGCTCCAAAACTCCCTATGGTGGTGTTTGCGTGACAAGGCTCAGAATTTCAGATCTGTTTTAAGTGGTTTGCAGAGGAAGAGAAGTTTTTTTAACCACAGCTTTATTTTTACATACACCTAAATATGTGCAGAAAGACATGCCCTGTTCATCCTAATTCTGTCTTTCACAGGGCATAAGAAATAGCCCCACCAATAAAATGATTACGATATAAAAGAAATACAAGCGTCCTGGTTGCCACTCCTCGATGTCCTAGAAAGACAAGTGAACTCATATTTCACAGAGGTCATCCTTACTTTCATATGAATCTCTCAATCAGTAAATTGGTAGCGCTAGCCTGGATCTTCATGCGTCTGGGCTGTATAAGTAAATCATTCAATTCAATCCTAGTCACACCTTTTTTTAATCTCTTTATAATCTTGTGCTCGCATATTATGATTTGTCACTGATTTTTGCATGGAAATTGTAAACTACCTATTCTTCTTAGTCCTCATTCACACAGGAGTACTGATCATGCGATTGCTGGATGCACAGGCGTTCTGTGCAGGCAGCCTGTTCAAATCAATGACAAATGGTTGGCTGCGTGGACCTGCACAGTTCTCCATGCACATCCCAGGGTGTATATTCATATTCAAAGCTTGGGTCAGAATGCAGGCAGACTGTTCTGATCTGTGCATCTGACCCGCAGGGATGTACACTTCGGGATACTCCATCATTGGTTAACCAGTTCAAGTCCGGACACTTTCACCCCCTTCCTGTCCAGGCCAATTTTCAGCTTTCAGTGCTATCACACTTTGAATGGCAATTGTGCGGTCATGCAACACTGTACCCATACAAATTTTTTACTATTTTGTTGAGACAGCTAAAACTTTATTTTGGTGGTATTTTTTTTACCACTGGGATTTTTATTTTTTTGCTATATACGTTAAAATGTCCAAACATCTTTAAAAAAGTGTTTTTCTTATAAGATTTTGCAAATAAATAATCTGTCTTCATAAATCTTGGCCAAAATTTATTCAGCTATCTTTTTAGTAAAAAAAAAAGTAACCCAAATTAGTTTATAACCAAAAATTATAATTTTTCAAAATTTTGTTTTACATTTTTATTTTTTTTTTATATTATTTATGTTTTTTTTTAACATACTGTCACCCTAGCAGTACAGTGTCACCATGGTGACACTGTACTACTTGTGGGGGGTGATGAAGATTTTTTTTTTTTTTTTTACACTGAATGCTTTTACACTCATAAAGGCTGTAAAAGCAATCATTTCTCCTTCTCTCTGACTGCATTCTTGCAGTCATTGAGAAATACTGAGAGCTGTGATTGGTCACAGCTTGTCACATGGTACAAGGCTGTTGTGAATAGCCTTGTACCATGTGACCTCTGTGGTCATTCACAAATTTCACACGTAGTAAGCAATGATGTCAGAAGTGACATCTTGCTTACTACTATTCATGTGATCACTCAGTCAGTGATCACATGATCGGGACCTCACTCAGTGGTCCCATACAGCGATCGGTGTTCCCAGGGAGCGCGCACAGGTTGAAAATGCGGGCGCCGTTTATGAACGGCAACCCACTCCTGCACTGCTCCCGTCTGGCCGTTTATGTACATGGGCCGGACAGGAAGTGGTTAGAGATGGAGCAGCGGCAGACTGATGACTCATCTCTCTGCTCTCTCCTCCTCTTAGCATATCTACACATCTGAGAGAATACTTCATGTTTTAGTTGGATTCAATGATGTATTTTATTATACCACTGTGAGTACATATGTGGCTGAATAAATAGTTTTTTATTCAATACACAGGGTGCGCTATGCTTGCTATTCCCTGTTATTGAGCTTGATTCACAATGAAACCAGCAAGGTGAGGTCTATTAGAGGGACCGCAAGTGGCTGCAAAGAGCTAGAGGCTGATCCGCAGAAGGATACTGACCTAATTCTTTTAGGTCTACTATTAAGTTTCAAATTTTAAAAGTTCACAGTCTGATGTGAAAAGACATCTCCAGGCACTGAAATGAGAAGGGTTTGGAAAGATTCAAAGTGGAGATATTATCTTGTATCTGTGAGAAGATTTCCATTGAAGAGTACCTGCCATACTGATTCCCCATCACATTGCACTCATTGATCGGTGTTATATGGTCAAAGTGTCTGGTTTGGAGATTTTTTGAAAGCGGAGACATTATCCTGCATCTGGGATAGGATATCCTGGAGATTATTCCGCATACTGATTCCTTATTACACTGTGCGTACTGACCGGCGACATACGGTCAAAGTGTCCGGTAAGGGGCCAATTTTTCCGAATGTATGGTGATGGTTCATGAGATCAGGATTTTCTCTTGTATTTTATTTGTTAGAGGACTTATATGGACTTTTAATTTTGGATTTTTTTATGCTTTTTAATTAGCGCTGCATTTTTTTTTTCTGTTTACATATCTACATCTGTGATAAGCTCTTACTGCTGCCCCTTCTTATCATATTCAGAGTGATGCTGTAGTGGAGAATTTGAGACTCCAGCAGCAGCTGCGCTCCAGACATTGAATTTGACTCTGACCTAGCTGCTAATTCAGTTGCTCTGAAGCTCGAAGGTTTACATTCTTTTCTTGGCTTTTCTGTCATCCAAGATAATAACTTAATATAAGTATATTTCCTCGGAATATGGATGGTAAAAATAAGCAACCCCTGGGGGATGGCTTAAAATCAATCATTGCTTTGCCCTGCAAGGCCAATGCACAGGTTTACTTAAAGGCAGGTATATTCTGTGTGATTTGCTCAAACCTGTATATTTTGCCCTCTTGAATTGTAACGGATAAGTGATTGAAAATGTTGTGTTTGGTTGTGCATTATATTGTATTTATTTGTGTATTTGTTTATTTTTTTAGACATGTTGGATCACTTTTAGTTGGATGTCTAACTGATTAATGGAAGGAAGAAGCCCCTACAGAATATATGATCCAGGAGGCACTGCCCCAAACCGACTGGCCGCACAAAACAGGCAAAACATGGATGGGATCTTGAGTTTAGGTAAATGAAAATCATAATTGTTGCGGTATTCCTACCATCTGTACATTTACTCTATGCTTCTCGTCCAAAGACCTGCTGGTAGGTTAATTGGCTCCTTTCTATCCGCTGTAGCGCCGCCCCATAGCAGATATACTGCTTCAGGGCAGAAGCTGTGCGCAAAATCACGTATATACAGTGGGGATCGAAAGTTTGGGCACCCCAGCTAAAAATTTGTATTAATGTGCATAAAGAAGCCAAGGAAAGATGGAAAAATCTCCAAAAGGCATCAAATTACAGATTAGACATTCTTATAATATGTCAACAAAAGTTAGATTTTATTTCCATCATTTACACTTTCAAAATAACAGAAAGCAAAAAAATGGCGTATGCAAAAGTTTGGGCACCCTGCAGAATTTATAGCATGCACTGCCCCCTTTGGCAAGTATCACAGCTTGTAAACGCTTTTTGTAGCCAGCCAAGAGTCTTTCAATTCTTGTTTGAGGTATCTTTGCCCATTCTTCCTTACAAAAGTCTTCCAGTTCTTTGAGATTTCTGGGTTGTCTGTCACGCACTGCTCTTTTAAGGTCTATCCATAGATTTTCAATTATGTTGAGGTCAGGAGATTGTGAAGGCCATGGCAAAACCTTCAGTTTACGCCTCTTGATGTAATTCCCCGTGGATTTTGAGGTGTGTTTAGGATCATTATCCATTTGTAGAAGCCATCCTCTCTTTAACTTCAGCTTTTTCACAGATGGCATCAAGTTACCATCCAAAATTTGCTGATATTTTATTGAATCCATTTTTCCTTCTACTCGTGAGATGTTCCCTGTGCCACTGGCTGCAACACAACCCCAAAGCATGATTGATCCAACCCCATGCTTAACAGTTGGACAGAGGTTCTTTTCATTAAATTCTGTGCCCCTTCTTCTCCAAACGTACCTTTACTCATTCCGGCCAAAAAGTTCAATTCTAACCTCATCGGTCCACAGAACTTGTTTCCAAAATGCATCAGTCTTGTCTATATGTTCATTTGCAAAGTTCAAACGATGATTTTTGTGGTGAGGACGTAGAAGAGATTTTCTTCTGATGACTCTTCCATGAAGACCATATTTGCACAAGTATCTCTTTATAGTGGAATAGTGTACCACAACTCCAGTGTCTGCCAGATCTTTCTGGAGGGATCGTGCAGTCAAATGTGGGTTTTGAATTGTTTTTCTCACAATCCTGCGAGCTGTACTGTCTGATATTTTTCTTGGTCTTCCAGATCTTGCTTTAACTTCCACTGTTCCTGATGACTGTCATTTCTTAATTACATTCCGAACAGAGGATACTGACATCTGAAAACGCTTTGCTATCTTCTTATAGCTTTCTCCAGCTTTGTGAGCGTCAACTATTTTCAGTTTCAGTTTTCTAGACAACTGCTTAGAAGAACCCATGGTGCTGATTGTTGGGGCAAGGTCAGATGAGTCTGGGCATTTAAAACCTTTGAGATTGACATCACCTGATCTTCCCAGACGATGATTGAGAACAATCCATGACACTGGCAGGTCTCAGCTTGGCAAAGGGGGCAGTGCATGCTATAAATTCTGCAGGGTGCCCAAACTTTTGCAGAGGCCATTTTTTAGTTTTCTGTTATTTTGAAAGTGTAAATGATGGAAATAAAATCTAACTTTTGCTGACATATTATAAGAATGTCTAATCTGTAATTTGATGCCTTTTGGAGATTTTTCAATCTTTCCTTGGTTTCTTTATGCACATTAATACAAATTTTTAGCTGGGGTGCCCAAACTTTCGATCCCCACTGTATATATAATCATATATATATACGTGATTTTGCATTTCCGGGTATGGGGCATGCGTGAGCAATGCGCGTACCCTTCCCTCACCGCCATTCGCGGCCGCTGCTGTCCTGCCCGGTGATTGGCGAACATCTCCAACAGGGTGGAAAACTGTTTGTAAACAAAATAGTTCTCTCCCCTGTATGCCTGTCCATTTCTTTGCATAGTCATACAAAGCAGTGTCCATTACAGTCCCGCTATAAGTCGCTGATCGCTGCCATTACTAGTAAAAATAAAAAGCCCAGTATATATACCGCCAGTTGTAAATGCTATAACTTTCAGATAAACTAATTAATTTCCACGTATTGGGATTTTTTTTTAGAAAAGACATGTAGCAGAATACATTTTGGCCTAAATTTATGACAACATTTTTTTACTGGACATGTTAATAGCAAAAAGTCAAAAATCTAGACACTTATGTAGGAACGCAGCCACCCTCTCTTGCTCACTCCTCAGATGGACTAGGGATGATAGACACAGAGCAGTACACACAACCACTAACGTCCCCCTGCTCATTCCAAATGAAAAGAAGTGAGGGGAAGAGGAAAGGTTCAGGAGTTCACTAAGACAGTTAAAGGAGGCAGAAAAAGGCAGTAAGAAACAATTTTATGAAAAATAGACTACAGGGCTCTTTAAGTGGTGATAAAGGCAATAGGCCTTTTTCTTCTTGCATTTTATGCATGAAGATGAAAAATCTTCTTGGTGCAACCCCCACCCTCAACCCCCTCTAATACTTACTTGAGCCCCATCTAGATCTAGTGATGTGGATGAGCGCCACAGATCTCCCTGGTCTCTCTCTCCTCATTGGCTCACACAGCAGCGGGAGCCATTGGCTCCTGCTGCTGTCAATCACAGCCAGTGAGCCAATGAGGAGAGAGTGGGGGGTGGGGCCGAGCTGTGTTCTGTGTGTGAATGTCCATTCACAGGAGTGCAGTTTGAGAATGAGCCTGTTCGAGTGCCCCCCATAGCAAGCAGCTTTTGGAGCACTCAGCAGGGGGGAGGAGCCAGGACCACTGGCAGCGGACCCAAAAAAGAAGAGAATCAGGGGCTGCTCTGTGCAAAACCATTACACAGAACAGATATGTCTAATGTTTTTTTTTTTTTTCCAGTTACAACCTTTAGAATCACTTTAAGTACTAGATGTGTATGGATTATTTTTGGAGAACTAGGATATTGTCACTTTTAGTTAGTGAATGAGATGAAGCTATGTGAAAATTAACTTTCCAAAGAATATCCAATCAAGGAAAAAAAAGGGAAAAGAGAATTTAAAAAAACAAACAAACAGTCTTTTCCTTGCACATATTGGATGATTGAAGTCAGCATAGCTTCACCTTAGTAACTAAAGCTCAATGACAATTGACTTCGCAGTGTGAACATGTGCTCATCCTTTAGTAAACTGACCCCATTCTCTCTAAAATGAAATTTCCTTTTCAGTGAAGATACAACATTTTTTCCTTCTGAATTCACTTTACTTCTAATGTCCTGTGTGCCAAAAATATTTTTTCTGAATGGATGTTTAGTTTGGTAAGTTAACAATTTCTGCACATTTTCTCTCTGATGTATAAAAATCGAGAACATTTTAAAACTTTATTATTGTCACAGTAAATAATAATAAAACATGGCCTGGGTGTTTCCCAATCTCCTTATCTGCTCCACTCATTACTCCATGTAGTTTCTTTTCTCCGTCAGCTGTTTCTGTTTCTGTTCTTCCCCTGCTACTAATACACTGCATCAGTCTGAGGCTTCCCACTCTTGTATCTCAGGTGACTTGTTGGAGGAGTCTCAGAATGTGGCGTTCACTCTCCGACAGAAAGCTGAGGCTCTGACAAAAGACGACCAGGATTTGCAGCCTTCTTCGTGCCCAACCACTCGACCCTCTCACCCTGGACCAATGGATACAGGTGAGTCTTTGCTCCAGAGGTGTAAAGCCTTATAGGTTGAGGCCATGACTTTGGTCCCAGAATTCATTTGGGGGTCTTCTGTTATGTCTTCCTAATATGTATGCAGTTTATGGGCTTTAAAGTAAACCTATCACACCTTTTCTGTTTCAATATTTTTATTAGGAAAGTTTTGTTTTTAAGAATATAACAAGCTCAAAATACGCCCTTGCAGGGGCACAGCAGAACAATAACATATAAACAGAGACATCCTGCTGACTTGTATTAGTCAAATAATGAAATGTCTAATGACATCAAGAAGGGACGGCAAAAAACCGAGCCAAATAGCAGCAGTAATCCAACATAGTATCGGAGAAAAGAAGAAAGGTTAGAAGAAAATAAAATAAAACAAAAGGGAATCAGAAAGAAAACATGAAAGAAGGGAAACTAGAAGGATCACGGATCCGGGGCTATCACAGGCAACGACTATAGGAGGCCATAACTAGTAGGAGGCAGGGATGGTAAGGAATCCTATCACACCTTTTAAAGTCATCCAGCTTTCGATAGTGGCAACTATCAAACCAATTAAGTCAACTTGACAGCAACTCTGAGGGGGGGGTTGGTTGTCATAATCTTTTGAGTCCAAAGTTGGTGGAATTTGAATGAATAATGCTACATGTATGATCGGTTTTACAGCTGCTATTTCTGCTACAGTGTCAAAACTTTATAAATTGCTTTTGTTTTTTTGAGTAGCATTATTGATAATTTATCTGCTTGCCTTCCAGGGCAGTTTTTGAACATTTCATATACAGTATGTTAAATTCAGCATTTTTCTTGATAGAAAATTACTCAGAACCCCCAAACATTATATATTATCTAATAGAATACAATTTTGGCTGTGGCGATTGTTTATGTCATATAATAATTGCGCAGCTGTTTATCAAATAAAAATTTTCAGGAAAAAATACACTTAAATAAACACATAAAACATGATATAATAATCCAATTAGAGGTAAAATAAAAATATGATTTTGCGTCGAGTAGACACCAAACATCAATATTCAAAATTGCGCACTGTAAAATGACAACAAATAAAGATATCTAAAATTGTTCATATGCAGCATATTTAAAAAAGTTAAACATGAGCTATGGCACTAGAATTTATTGCTCTCATTCTGATGTTCATGGCGATGCCTCACATGTTTACATATTTGTGCTGGACTACGTGCTTGTTTGCATTTGCATGTGAGCACAGGGTGGGGGGGAAAGGGTGCTTAATATTGCTATCATAAAGGGGAGAACAAGCCCCTTTGTGATAGCTTTGGGCAGTGACAGGTACTCTTTATGGAGACATAATAGACCCCCAGAGTCTCCCGTGCCCTCCAAGGCAGCTGATGAAACACAGATCGTGTATGATCAGCTGCTTCCCTGACTGTAACAGCCAGGGAATGGCAGCTCTGAAAAGCTCTAAAATCCTTGTTGCTTGAGACTTCATTTGTCTCAGAGAAGATGGGGAAACAGCTGTTCACCCATCTCCTCTGTGGGCAACCAATCAGATGACTCACCACTGTCCTGGACTCCCCAGTGGAATGGGAGAGACCAGATGTGACAGCAGGCAGCTGCATTAGGGGATAGGAGCTCTGCAGCACTGTAATAGTGATAGGCCGGATGTAAAGATGCCCAGATCACATTTGTAGGAAAGCCGATTGCCAGCTTTAATAAATGGTACCAGGGTCATGGCTGCAGCTGCATGGCTGGTATAACCAATTGCTGCCCAGGACATCTTATATACGCACACTGGGCAGAAAATGGTTAATATTCTGTGTTTGGGATAGTGTCAGTTGTCAGAAACTGTTTTTGAGATCACTGTATAAGTTTTGCTTTCAGTGGTTGTTGCAAGCAGGGTTTGGATTTTTATTTAAATAATACCAGTGCAAAGCCAACTTGGTGCAGCAGAATAAATTAGACTCCAAAATGGGATGAGGCATGGCTGAAAAGTCTTCTCAGAAGATCTTATTGCTGCAGCTAAATGTGATAGAAGGAAGCAAGAGCAAACTGACATTGTCAAGCTGCACCCAAAAATATAACATCCTATATAAAATACTGTACAAAATGTATAGCCAATGGCAACAGAAGATGCATTTCTCAATGTTTCTGCCAGTCTTGGGTAGTTTGGACTTCCAGGATGTCATGAGAAGCAAATGTTATAATACATTGAAGGTTACTGTATGATTCACACAATTCTGAACAAATACTGTCACCTTGCAACCACTTTCTAAAGGATAAGATACATTTCCTTGCTCACTGAATTGTCTTTTTGCCTTGAAAGCCTAAACTTAAATACAAAATGTAATGTGTTACGATTTACCAGTCCTTAGATGTGGTGGCTGAATTAAAGTGGTCCTAAACCTCAGAAATGAAATATTAAGGAAACATTTCACTCTATAGTGTGTATTTGGCTCAGTCTAGAGCACTAAGTAATATTTCTGTTTACTACCTTGTTCCACTGCTGTTTGCATAAGTCACTGATGACAAGTTTTCCTGACACCGTGAGCTAAAAAAGTGACAGGGGATGGAGCTCCAGCACACATCCTGTGATTGACAGTCTCAGCTCTGTGCCTGTGAGCTGTGTGGAGGGGGTGTGTCTCTTCCCTCCAATCAGCTCTTGAAGCTCTTCTCACTGAGCTCTGCAGAGTGTAACTTCAGCTCCCCACCCCTGCTTTGTGAAAGTTCAGACAAACTGTATATATTCTGCGCTTTGAACAGATGAAAAAAAAGAGAATACTGCAGATAAACAGGTATAATGTATGTAGGAGGAATTGTTTCATCTATGTGTATCGCCTGAGGCTAGTCACTTAATTGGGTATATGTAAGGGTTTAAAACCACTTTAACCTCTTGGTGCCGGCCCGAACGCAAATGTGCGGCCTCCCGGCGTCTGGGCCTAGATGCCGAGCGGCTGCACATTTGCGTTCTAGTAGAAAAACACATATGTGCTGAGAGCGCACGCCCTGCATGCTCCCAACACACATGTTCCTTACTCACGGAAAGATCCCGATCTCCTTTTTCGATCGGGACCTTTCCCGATCATGTGACCGTCGTGACAGCGAATCATGACGGTCACAAGACTCTAAAACCCCGCCCCACCTCCCGGCTACTGAAATGCCTTAAAGGGCCGGGAATCGCTGGCACCAAGGGGTAATCTTTTTTTTTTTTGGGGGGGGGGGGGGCTTTTTTCCCTTATTTTCATTTGGCGAAGCTGACAAGCTGAACTCCAGGCTTGTCTGCCTTTAGTTCATCTGTTATATAGGGGCTGGAGAGATTAGTAGTTTACAGAACAGAGGTAAAATTGTTTTATGTTTTCAGTTCAGCTCACAGAAAATGAATAGGGCACTGCATTTCTGGCAAGATCATCAGGCATTTTCTGTACTTGCAGAAAATGTTCTGAGCCTGAATAAAGAAAATGAATGCAGCCACCACATCTAAGGACTGGTAAGCAGGATAATATTACATTGTTGTCCACGGGTTTAATTATCCTTTAAGCCAAATCTTATATTTCTGTGATGCTTGGTTCAAACTTCTAGACCACATGCTATTAAACTGTATTCTCAAGTAGCAAGCCACTTCTAGAAACAATGTAGAGGCCATTTCTGAGTGCCTAAAATGTTGGTTGGATGATGCAGTTCTATTCTATGCTCTCTGGACTTTTATTTCCTAATAAAAATGATGGACAACAGTACCCAGGTACTGGAAGGCCCACCTTACAAACACCTAAACAAATAAAATATGAAAAATAAAGTGGAGCTCCACCCAAAAGGGGAAGTTCCGCTTTAAGGACTGCTCCCCATTAAGGATTGGCACCCTTGGGGGGGCGGGGGGAGCAGGTACCCAAATTTGACAGGTACTCGCTTCCACTTCCGGTCCGATTGTCCTGTAGTCTTTTGGGATACGTGACAGGTCCCAGAAGACTACAGGACCATCCATGAAGTGCAGTGCTACTCGTGCATGCGCAGTGGGTACCCGGCTGTGAAGCCGCAAGCTATCACAGGTAGATGCCCACACTGAAGATGCCGGCCTCCTGGAATACAGGATGGCCGGTGAAACGGACTGCAGGGGACACACCACGGGACCGAGGGACAGGTAAGTGGCTGTTTTTTAAAAGTCAGCATCTACAGTTTTTGTAGCTGCTGACTTTCATTTTTTGACAGCGTGAGTGGAACTCCGCTTCAACGTGATACTAAAGGGATTTTGTAAAATATCAAACCTGTTATATTTACCTGCTCTGTGCAATGGTTTTGCACAGAGCAGCCCCGATCCTTGTCTTCTCGGGTTCCCCGCAGCACTCCTGGCTCCATAGGAGAGAGCCAGGAGAGCAGTTGTTGTCGTGTATGTCGCTGGATCAAGATTGGGCTCAGGAAAGTATCAGGCTGGGGGGAGGGGAGATGCACCCAGAAGGTTTTTTTACCTTTATGCATAGAATGCATGAAAGTAAAAAAAACCTTCAGCCTTTAGAAACAATTTAAGTATCAGCCTTGAATGGACTAACCCATTAACTCTTTGTAATTTATTTCAGAAAAAGAGGATGCAGATGATTTCCTGCATGTACAGATGGAGAAACGGAGTACGGAATCAAATACAACTCTGAAAGCTAACCAGAAATCTCCTACAAGTGTGAGTGGCCTAAAATGTTTCAAATGTCTTTAATTGTAAGCTCTATTTAAAGCAGAACTACACTTCATCTGAGCACCACACACCACATATTGCTATTTCATTCATTTTTAATATTCAGAGCATGTCTCCATGATGTAGTTTGCTGAGAAATCACATTGAAAAACACACCCCCAGCATGTCTGGCCGTGGCCATCTTAAAAAAGGGCAGATGATTAATTTGGCAATTACTTCCTGGAATTCATCTGCCCCTACCTCAGGCATGCAGGCAGAAGGGAGTGCTTAACTAAGAAAACCCCTCCTGAAGACTCCTGGGATGCATGATGTTGTTTGCCTAGGCATGGAAACCAGGCAGTAACTAAAGAAATTAAAAAAAAAGTTTAAAGAAGTAAATAGAATATAATTTACAATCTATTTACTAATGCTAGCAGTATTAGGATTCAAAATAGTCAATGTTGATTGAGAGAGTGAAGTTCCACTTAAGGCATACCCCTGACCCATTTATACTCACCATTTCTAGTTGCTCTGTTGGAGCTGCCACAAAACAGTGGATCGCTGAGAGGCTGAGCCAGGTGGTGGTTCCGGGATCTGGGTGGATTATGACTTTAACCACTTGCCCTCCTGAGGATTTACCCCCCTTCATAACCAGGCCATTTTTTGTGTTACGGCACTGCTTTCCTTTAACTGACAATTGCACGGTCATGCAGCGCTGCACCCAAATGAAATTTACGTTCTTTTTTCCCACGAATTGAGCTTTCTTTCAGTGGTATTTGATCGCCTATCCGTTTTTTATTTTTTGCGCTATAAGCAAAAAGAGACTGACGCTTTTTAGAAAAAACAATATTTTGGACTTTTTGCTATTAAACATGTCCAGTAAAAAAAATTTAAAAAAATCTAATTTCATCATAAATTTAGGCCAAAATGTATTCTGCTACATGTCTTTGCTGAAAAAAAAAAATCCCAATACGTGTAAATTAATTGGTTTACGTGAAAGTTATAGCGTTTACAAATGGCGATATAGATGCTGTGATTTTTTTTTTTCCTACTAGTAATGGCCACGATCAGCGACTTTTAGCTGGACTGCAGCAGACATTCTGACACTGGGGGGGGGGGGGGGTGCTTTACACAGCCATCCCGAGTAGTGTGTTCAAGCTGAAAGGGAGGAAGACTGTAAACAAAACAGTCTTCCTCCAAATCAGGTGATTGTTGGTAATCACCGGGCGCTGGCAGGTAATTACCAGCTGGGACCCAGTGATTGACATCCGTGGCCACAAATGGGTGGGTAGAGTACGGCTCGAGCACGTCATCTACCGGAAATGCAAAATCACGTATATATACGTGATTTTGCGCACAGGTGCAGCCCTGTAGCAGTATATCTCCTATAGGGCGGTCCTTAAGCGGTTAAAGTCACGATCTTTCCCCAGCCTGGACCAGCTGAGTGCTGACAGTGGGTCACAGGAGTGTAGAACAAACTGCACTCCTGTCATCCAAATGAGCTTTGGCTGTACTATCCTTTAAGTGTCACAGGATATATGACACCGCTTTTGTATACCTTTCCTTTGCTGTATTTGAATCCTACTGCAGTGTCTCCATTCTTCCTGCATGTGAGTGGTCAAGCAGCTAATACAGAGCAAGTTCCTTCTACCTTCATCTAACAGAGTATTAATCAAACAAACTCACAGCTTGTAGCTTACAAAATATCATGATTATATTAATAAAACAGTGTAGTCCGAGCTGGAGTTTCCTGTTCTAAATCAATGTTTTTTTTTTCTATAGGGATCATCTTCTGAATTTGAAATCCTGCACCATAATGAAAGAAAAAAGCCTCTTAAAGTCAGATTATCGGTGAGTGGATAGTTGTGTAGTAGGATAACCTGTCTGTAGACCATATTGCCTTGGGACAGCACTCCCACTTTGCTGGCTTTACATCCTCAGTCAGATTTTTATTGCTGTATGTGTCCTGATTATAATGCTTCTGTATCTGGGTTAAAACGTTTCTAAAGGCATCATTTTTTTTATATTAAAATATTACTCACCTGCTCTGTGCAGTGGTGTTGTTCAGGGCAGCCCAAACCTCCTCTTTGGGGTCTCCCACCAGTGATCTTGGCTTCTCCTGTTCTGTATTTGCTCCCATAGCAAGCTGCTTGCTATAGGGGCAGACATACGAGCGAGCTCTCAAGCCGTGCTGTGTGTGTCCATAGTCTCACACAGCGTCTCTCAGTACCGCACCTGACTCCTTTCTTACAGGATTTGATTACCTGCAGCAAGATCCAATGGCTCCATCTGTTCTAAGTGTAGCACTGGGCACAGTGCTGGATTGATGTAGGCCTAAGGGGGCACAAAAAGTGGCAAAACGTTTTTTACCTTAATGGAAGGAATGAATTAAAGTGATACTAAACACACTGTTTATTTTACATTATGTCTTCTCTTTCTGTATATGGATGATGACACTGTAATTATTTTAAAGTGGTTGTAAGCCTCAGACATGAAATATGAATAAAGCATATCCCTCTATAGGAAGGGTAGGCAACCTTAAAGAGGTGGAGATCTACCTGAACAACATGGGAGAAGTCAAAGATCACTGGGCACAGTGTCTCCTCCTCGCACCTGATTTAAATCTCTAATTGCCGTACTACTGTGTCGTAATGGTGTGCATTGCACGGCAATTATGGGTCACATGCGGTATATCGCATGTGATTCGCACAGGAACCGCACCACATTCCTGTGCAAATCACATGCGATTCGTGTGCGGTGCGTTTGGAGCCATACATTATGTATGGCTCTAATCGCACCACACCCGCATCAGAAACGTGCAGGACCCTTTTTTTTGGTCCGCACTAGAATCGGATCGCATAGGAATTTTCACCCATGCGATCTGATTCTGCACATCGCACCTTGCTTTTCAGACCGATTTCGGGGTGTTGGTAACTTAACTTACACACCCGCAGCGGTTCGCATGAACGGGGTGCGATTCTGATGCGGTGCGGAAATACTGCGAATCCAGGGCTTAGTGTGGGGCATCATGGATAGAGAAATCTTTTGTTTCCAAGAGATAAATCAACTAAGTGAAATTCCCCCGTTTAATCTCCTATAATGTACTAAGAATGTAATAGGAAACATGTCATTGGTTAATATTGGCAAGAATACTTCTTCATGTAAATCCTTTTATGTGGAGCTCATTGTTTTCCAAGGAAAAAAAGGGCGGAATGGGCAGACCCACATAGGATAATGTTTACTTTTTCATTAATGACAAGCAGCCTAGATGTTGCACAACTTTATTAATGATTTTTAGCAAGAGTTTAAGTATTCCAAGAACTATTTTTTTGTTGTTTCACAAAGCAGAAATTCCAGATCTTCCCTTTCCTGAAATACAGCATTAACATGTTTGTCTTGCATAAAGACTGGTTACGCACTTTTTTCCTGCCACATATCAACAAACATTTGCACAAAGTTTAAATTAAAAGAAACAAAATAGGAATTTGACAATCTAATGCTTGAAGAGAACTATATAACAAATGTAATGTGCCTTGTACACACACAGCACGGCTTGAGAGCTCGCTCGTATGTCTGCCCCTATAGCAAAGCAAAGTGTATCTAATCTCAGAGATAAACATGGAATATATTGCATCTTAAAAAGGAATTCCAGGTATAAATATTTTATACATGGTTATATTGGTCCAACTTGGTCCAAAGTAGGCATCGCTACTCCGGGGGTGTCTTCTGGGACCTGTGTTGAGTGACTGGCCTGCTGCATTGTGAACACAGGAGGTCAGGAGCTCAACATGGACACCATTCAGGGAATGCTTTACACTTTCATCCTGTAGACTTTAACTTACACATTAGCTGTCTGTGGGGAACTGTGTGAATGTTTTTGCAAAGCCCAAGTATAGAGACAAAACCTTGGGTTTTGCTTATTCCTCATAAAAAAGTAGATTTGTTTGGACAACTTTGGTCTTTCATGAACCCGGGCCGACTATTGCTCAGAATTTTGTTCTGTGGTCTTTTTTTCAAATTGTCAACCATCTTCCCTACTTTTGAAGTTAAACTTACAGGTCTGCATTTACTCAGTAAAGACTTTGATCCCTTTTTAAATATAGGCTCTACAATGGTCTGTTGCAAATCCATTGGTACCACACCAATCATTAAAGAGTCTCTAAACATTAGAAACCATGGCTTTGAAATATTTTAAACATTTTGGGAGGGCAGTCTTATCCTCTTTTGCAGCCTGTAGAATATTTTTTTTTTTTACTAGATTTCCTTTTTACACCTTTTGCTATTGCTTTTTCTTTTGAAAGTGTTCTTAATTTTTATATTTTTTAAATATCCTTTCCTTTTTAACATTGGAAGGTTTTATTTTGAGCTTTTTAGCAGACTAAAGGTTCTGACACATTGTAGGAACCTATTAGTTCCTCCATCAATGCTCAACAGTGTGGATTTAGGAATCTCTGGGCTATAAGAATAACTAAAGAGTGGCTTCTGATTGGATACAGCCACTGTTTGGACAACAATTTTCCGACCTGCTCCCTTTTTTTTTTTTTAGGATCCAAGGATATCAGGCAGGAAGGTGTAAACAGGGCCACCCATGGTTTGAATTTCAGGCAGTCTTGATGAATGTCATTCTGTGTATGGCTGCCTTAAATATCAGTCAGTTTACGGTTGACATCTACTTTGAAAATATGCGTCAACGTATGCTTGCATTTGCCATTAATATTCTAAAAAAGGGTACAGGATGTTCTTTAAATGTTCGCATTTCTGTTAAACTTTCTCTTCTTGGGTTTCCTAAATTACAGCGTCTTATCGCTCATACACAATGTTCTCTGGTGGTCTGTGTTTCCTTTTGTTGGCCTCTTGTATACAGACTAGGTTAGTCAGCCTGGCCACACTTCCCCATTGTGCAATCTTGTAGTTTTCTTAGTGGGATCAGCATTGTTCTCTGACACTGACTCATTGTTCTGTGTAACATATATTAACTCTGAAGAGTAGCAAGGATTGTATGTTATGTGAATCAGCTAGGGGCTTTCTCATCTTGCCTGAAGACTGGTTAACCCTGTGACTAGATACTAGAAACCAGCCTGGTCATCGAGGAACTAAGCCTTTCAGTACACAGGGCTGTTTTTAGAATTCTTCCTGTTCTAGGCTATCATCAATGAAGCATCCTACCATTTTTTTTCTGTAATTTTTTTTTTCTCATCAGGAATGCTACATACAGTTGTGTTCAAAATAATAGCAGTGTGTTGAAAAAAGTGAATAAAGCTCAAAATCCTTCTAATAGCTTTTATTTCCATACACACAAATGCATTGGGAACACTACACACTACACATTCTATTCCGAATCAAAACATGAAGAAAAATATATCAAATTTGTGTTGTTCCTCTAAAGAAATTGAAGAAAAGTGAATATTAGACTGTTAAAAAAAAATAGCAGTGTTTGTATTCTTCTTTACAAACTCAAACATTCACTATATAAACTGAAAATTTTTGAAGATTTTTGCTTTCCTTTGAATCACTTAATTAATATTTTGTTGTATAAGCACTGTTTCTGAGAACTGCTGAACATCTGTGTTGCATGGAGTCACCGAACTTCTGGCACCTGTGAACAGGTATTCCAGCCCAGGATGATTGGACTACATTCCACAGTTCTTCTCTATTTCTTGGTTTTGCCTCAGAAACTGCATTTTTGATGTCACCCCACAAGTTTTCTATTGGATTAAGATCCGGGGATTGGGCTGGCCACTCCATAACGTCAATCGTGTTAGTCTGGAACCAAGATGTTGCACGTTTACTGATGTGTTTGGGGTCGTTGTCTTGTTGGAACACCCATTTCAAGGGCATTTCCTCTTCAGCATAAGGCAGCATGACCTCTTCAAGTATTCTGATGTATTCAAACTGATCCATGATCCCTGGTATGCGATAAATAGGCCCAACACCGCAGTATGAGAAACATCCCCATATCATGATGCTTGCACCACCATGCTTCACTGTCTTCACAGTGTACTGTGGCTTGAATTCAGTGTTTGGGGGTCGTCTGACAAACTGTCTCCGGCCACTAGACCCAAAAAGAACAATCTTACTTTCATCAGTCCACAAAATGTTGTGCCATTTCTCTTTAGGCCAGTCAATGTGCTCTTTGGCAAATTGTAACCTCTTCAGCACGTCTTATTTTTTCAACAGTGGGACTTTGCGGGGGCTTCTTGCAGATAGCTTGGCTTCACATAGGCGTCTTCTAATTGTAATAGTACTCACAGGTAACTTTAGATCTTCTTTGATCTTCCTGGAGCTGATTGTTGGCCAAGTCCCTGCCATTTTGGCTATTCTTCTATTCTATTCTATTTTGGTTGCCATTTTAAAGCATTTGCGATCATTTTATCTGAGCAGCCTATCATTTTCTGTACTTCTTTATATGTTTTCCCCTCTCCAACCAACTTTTTAATCAAGGTACGCTGTTCTTCTGAACAATGTCTGGAACGACCCATTTTCCTCAGAATTTCAGAGAGAATTGCACTGTAACCAGCATGTACAACATTTGCTGCCTTCCGTCCTTAAAAAAGGGCAATAATTGCCCACCTGTTTTTCAACGAATGAATGACCTCACTAATAGAATTCCACACTGCTATTATTTTGAACATGCCCCTTTCAATGAGTGATTCAATTACACAGAATCAGCAGCATGCATGTCATGACTGTTGGGTCTGTAGGATTTCTATTACTCTACTACACCTGCTAGTAAATTATTTGCCATGTAGAAATATAATTTCTACCAAAAACAGTGATTGATCAGGTTAGTGATGTCTGACTGCTATTATTTTGAACACAACTGTACATATGGAATTCAAAAAATGAAAAGC